TTCCAGGAAAGATGAGCTTTTAACAAAAGGCTTTTGACAGCTGCAGGGTATTTCATTTTTTTAATGCCGAATGAAAAATCAATACATTTTTCTAGGTTATACATATTCAGAACAGGCTTGATATTTCCATTATAATGGAAAATGGGTGTCTGCACATCTCGCCTGTCAGAGTTGCACTGCCGCATTTTCCAAGCCACTGCTAAATATTTCAAACCTGATTTGATTGTGGTTCATGACAGCTAATGTTTCTCAGCTCTTGAGCCTGCCGGAGGGTGGGGAGGCAAGTGCACGCTCTTTCTCTCCCCCTTCAGATAAAGAGATCTGGGTTTGTTAAGGAAAATCAGAGTGGGAGAGGAGAGGTGAGAGGTCTCGGGCTGTTCAAGCTGGCCCGGCTCCGGTCGGGGTTTGCTGACTTCTCCAACCCTCCAACTTTCTGGGTTTTGCGAGGGGCAGGAACGTGGCAGTGTGGTCCTGCGCGGCCGCGTGCAGGGGATCAGGCGCATTTCCAGTGCGTAACTGAGTCAGAGTTTCCCTGATATCTGCAGATGTCAGATACTCTTGGTTTTCCAGACTCTTATCCCTCTCTTCCCCCACCCTCCCCATATTGAATGTTTTAATTTTAAATTAAAAGGAAATGCCACTGTCTGAAATGATTTATTCATGAAGGAAGAAAGGACTCTTGCTAGGATTTTGCGTGGGGCAGGTTTTGTGTAATGGAAGAGCAGGCTTCTTGGACTCCAGCTGCCCTGCAGTTAAACTTGCTTGCTCTTGGTATTGACCTGAACCCCTGCAGCTGGAAAATTCCCTTAAGAAAATGTATTAATAAAGCATCGTGGCCTCACGGGTGGCACTCCAGCACGGGGACCTGTGGGCAGGTTGTGCTGTTTGTCTTTCAGTGGGAGACGATCCCCTCCATGCAAATCCCCCAGCAACAGCTGGTGCACCTGCCCTGGCCAGTTCCCTGCAGAGGATGAAGCCCTCTTACCCTGCGTGAGCTCGTAAACCCTGTGTGTAGTTGGAGTTTTCTGGAAACCGAAGGCAGGAGTCTAGCACCTACATCCTCTGGGCAAGGGCTGCAGTAGCATCCTTGGCTTTCCAGAGCCCCTTACTAAGGTTTCCAGGTCGGGAGTCAGCCCCATCGCCTCCTACAAGACATCTTCTGTGGCAGAACTCCACACCTCAGGATTCAGTGGATGTTCACCGTGCTCTCCCAAAGTCCCGGTCGGAGTACTTGGCCTGCAGAGACTCCCAGCACACTGCTGCAGTCCTGCAGGGACTTCTTACCCTCTGGGTATCAGCCCCGGGACACTTCCTGGGAAGTACAGCTTGAAGCTGAGTACCTTTTTAACTACAAAACGACTGGTGGAGTTTCCACCAAGCTCCTTAAGGAGAATGCAGTCCAGCCATGAGGTGATGAGTCCTAACAAGCAGTGTGTATGGCCTCGAGGAGGTGTGGTCAGGCAGCAGCAAAAGGGTCCTGGTGGTTTGGAAATAAATTCCCTACGTCTTGCTGGCCACGGCCCCGTTCAGCCTTTGGAAGCTGGTCGCAAGATAGCCTTCACGCTCAGCTGCAGACCTGTCCTGTGGGGCTCTCTGGACGTTAAGTAAAAGGCAGTGGTCAGCTCTGCTGGAACGCAGCATGGGAACAACGTGACATCAGGATTCGCAGACAATTAAAATGGAAGCTCAGAAGCTCCTTGTTGGGTGTGCAGCGGATGGAGGAGAAAAGCAGACCTTTCCCTACCAGACGTGATGCCGGCCTTGTCCTCCGGGAAGGATGCCCCAAAGAAATGCAGGAGGATAGAAGGTTGGGTGCCGTTCACACGTGCGTTTGCTGCCCAGACCTGCCATCGCGCCTCGGCGCTGCAGAGCTGTCATCCGAGAGTGTGGGTGCAAACCTTTCGGGAGCAGGAGCTCTGCTGCGTTTTATTGTCGGTGTTGGAGGATCTCGTTGTCGGAAGGTGGGTCAGATCCCATGTCCCTGCTCCACATGAGGTCCGTTGGAAGCTGGTTCTCAGCCGTTCAAAGCCAGCCGAGGAGTGATGTGGCTGAGGACGCTCTCCCAGCCATCCCGGGGGTCAGCTCAAACACTGGCGGCCGCCAGACGAGTTAGGCTGAGTGCAGTGAGCAGAGCTGCATCCAGCCTTCCAAAAAAGTCTGCTGGAAGAGGATGACACAGCAGCCGGGAGTTAACGCTTTCCCTTCCCTGCGTCTCCGCGCCAGGCGGCTGCGACCCCAAGGCCCACGGGTGCCGGGAGCTCCCAGGGCATGCGGGGAGAGGAGCAGGAGGATTGTCCTCGGCAGAGACCTTGGGAGCGAGGAGCCAAGCACGGACAGTACCAGGGGCTTTCCTGGCTGATGGGGAGCCTCCCCGGGCAGATGCATCTCGGACTGTTCCCCTCCCGTCCTGCTTCGAAAAAAGACTTTTGAGAAAATATCAGCTCAGAGCGGAGAGGGGGAGGAGGGGGGTTTGCAGCATGCGTCTGCTGTTCGCAGCCCCCCTGCGCAGCGCAGAGGCAGCTGAGCCGAGCGGGCAGACCTTGGCCTTGGAGAGAAGCTGTTTCCAGCGTTGGGGCTCGGTGGGGGCTTGGTATGGGTTTGGTACCAGTGTTGGCCAGGGGCTTGGTACAGGCATCGGCCAGGAGTTTGGTACATCGGCTGGGGGCTTGGTACCGGTGTTGGCCGGGGGCTTGGTACAGACATTGGCCAGGGATTTGGTACCGGTGTTGGCCGGGGATTTGGTACAAGCATCAGCCAGGGGCTTGGTACGGGCATCAGCCAGGGGTTTGGTACAGGCATCGGCCGGGGGCTTGGTACAGACATTGGCCAGGGGCTTGGTACCGGTACCAGCCGGCAGCTTGGCTGGGGCTGTGAGGATGAGGGGCTGCAGGCCCGGCGGGGCAGAAGGCTTTGCCGTTCGTGGCCTTGTTTTTTTAATAGTTTTCTACCGTTATTGGTATTCATAGCTCACATTTTTCCGGTTGCTGTCAGCCTGGGCTTTCATCCATTTTAAAGAGCTATTTTTTCCCTTGTTGATGATGATGATGGTATAAAGGCAGATGGTGTAACTGCTTATGAATGTCCTATTTTATTCCCCTCGAACCAGACAGTGCACTTGAAGACGTGTATTATTTCCACATGCTCAGGTTAGAGCCCGGCGGCCGGCTCGCCCTTCCTCTTCCTCCCATGCCGATGCTGACCCCTCCGGGTGGCAGCCGGGAGTGCGGGGTGCCGGGCACCCTTTGTTGTTGGCAGGGGGGGGCCCTGAGCTGGGAGAGCAAGGTGGGGGTCCGGAGAGAGGGCTGCGAGGAAGGTTAAAATGAAGGTTTGAATAAAATAATAGAAACCCCTTGATGAAGGATTCCAATAAAACCGGCTGAGATCTGCTAGCTGTCTCACCCCGCGTGACAGCGCTTTGAAGGCAGCAAGGTGGTGTGGGGGCTGGGGGTGCTTGGTTGGGGTGTTTTTTTTTTTTCCCCAGGCTGGGAAAAATGTTGGAATTTTAATGTCAGACATGCGAATCCAGCTGCTGGGTTCACAGCCTTCCTCTCCAGCAAACCGGCCCGCTCGTCTCCCAAGGCAGACTGCTCACCTCGGCCCTGCCGCGGGGAGCTGTGGCTTCCCACGCGTCGGGCGCCTTTGCCCAGCGATGCCACCCACCACCCCTCTTCCTCTGGGGTCCTGTTTTCCCGGGAGAAGGCTACTGGGATCCCTGCAGCTCTCAGGAGTTGCCAGCTTTTAAAAGAGGGGTGTAGTATAAATCACAGGGCTTCCGCTTAGTATCAGTGCTGATCCCTGGATGCTTTTACAAGTTCCTCTCTGACTTAAGCTGTCACATTGTCAAAGGGCACTGCTGAGTATCTGCAATGTCCTCACAGATATTTTTAATGCTGATTTCTAGCCCTGTCTTTGTTAGGGGCAGGATGGGGGCTGGTGCTTTAACTGGTTGGGTAGTTCAGATAAAACCTCAGGATAGCCTAGGATTTACCATGACCAGATAATGCAAGTTAAAATTATGAACTATCCTGCCTAAAAGAGGATATAATGGATTAAAAGTACCCTTTCTTCCCAGTGTTCGTGTAGCCCCCATCAATTACGTGGTAGCTGTCGAGCTGCACGCACTGTACATAAATACCGAAGATATCAGATGATAATGTGGCTGTTACACCCTGGCGTAAGAGGTCTGGGAGCTGCAGCTCTTTAGCGTTCCCCCTGACGAGCGTGCCTCTGCGTGGAGCCGCACTGCGCCGTGTCGACACGCTCCGTGCCGCCGGCCTCACCGCGCCGGTGCTTTGGTTCGCGGGTGGGGCCGGTGGCACTTTGCGTTTTGTTCTGAGCTTTCAGCACGTCACTGCGCTGAGTATTTTTTCTCCTTTGTGCTTTTGCACCGGTGTGATGCTGCCTGTGTGCTCAAACTCTTCCCGTGACTGGGATGAAAACCAGACCCCAGCAGCTTCCTCCCGTGCATTGTGTCAGGGCCGTGTCTGCCAAAGACAGTGTTGCTCCTTGCTTTGCGGGAGCAGAAGGGAGAGGTGGCATTTCTGCAGGGACCTCGGGGGTCCCGGTGACCAGGGTTAGTGCTACGCAGAGTGGTTCGGTCCGAAGAGATGGGGGTGAGGAGGAAGGCTGAGGCTGAAGGTGGTGGAGGCTCTGATCAGTCCCCGATGCTTCTCTAAACCGTGGCATGGTTGGGTAGAGCCTTCTCATACCAGGCAAATGTTCTACTGTACATTACACCACAGGGGCCATCGGTAGCTATAAGCGGTAGAAGTAGGCAAGATGCTTCAGTTCGTCTTCATCTCTCGCTTTTTTCCTCTGTAGTTTCTCTTTTGACCAGGTAGCAGATAGATACTCTTGGGAGAATGCTGGGTGACACTGGTATATACCGCTCAGCGCTTCTGCTTCAGCGTTGGCTGTTGCTCTGTTGTTCAGTGGCAGTTACTTGCTCCTCTGTTTTGACTTCCATTTTGATGTTACGCTTTCTGCTTCTCTTGTTTCAGAAGAATCAACTGAAGATGTGGAAGGGCCCAATGAAACAGCCGGTGATGCTGAAGAGCCTGCCAAGGAGCAAGAGAGTGGAGGGGACAAGGACCAGAGTAAATGGACAGGTGGGTTTTGGTCCCTCTTTTTCTTTAAATCCAGGAAAGTAGACTGGGAAGAGCAGCGGTCTGCAAAACTCTCTTCTTAAATGACCGTGCCACACAGCACTGTCAGCACGACCTAACTGTCCCGTGTGAAGTCGTTGGGTGTAGCTTCGTGACACCCTCATGTGGTTTGAGCCACAGTGGGTCATGCGTCCGCACTCCCAGCCCCGGGCTCACGCAGGGGCCGTGGGTTGGATCTCCGCGGTGCTGGACCTGACCCAGGCAGTGGGAACTGGGAGCTGGGAGGGGAGGAGGGAGGAGGGGACCACCCCTTCTGGCAGCAGCCAACACTCAGGGCGGATTAAGCATATCATGAAACCCCACCTTATGTTGTTAAGGCTGCTTTTTCATCGTGGTCCTGGCTCTGGTAGCAAGGTTTTGATGTGGAAGGGCAGAGCAGAGAGGCAGACCCGGTGCTTGTGCTCTGTTAACTGCTGGCTTTCTGCTGGAGCGGTGACATCCTGACACAGAAAATGCAGATGAGCAATAATACTTAGGTGGTTGCAGTGGAATCTGAAAGGTTTCTCTCTGCAAAATCCGTAGATGGATTAATTATGAAGGTACTGGGTTACTCTGTCTTTCCCAGAAGATGATTGCTGTCCCGCAGAGGTGAGTGGGAGGAATCTTTTAAACATGCCTTGCCTTTGAGCAGAAAGCAGCTGCAAGATTGTCCTCGTCTGGAGAGGGCCATTCCCCTCCTCAGCTGGTGCTTGCCGACCGCTTCAGCGTAGATGTGGACATGGAGGCACTGGAAGCAGTGCTCATTTTGCTTGACCCAGGACGGAGCGGTTCTGACGTGCATTCCTGTTCCTGCACGGTAGCCCAGTCGGTTTGCAGACTTACGGTTGTTTGGCACGATGCCTCTCTCGGTCTGCACAGCAGCTCTTCTTCCAGGCAGCCTCTGCCATGTTCGTGGTTGCCTCTTAGTGGGCCACAGCCAGAGAGATAGTTCGGCTTGCACAGTCTTCAAAAGGATGAAATGTGGTCTTTTGCCTCAGTACAGTTTTAATCCCGGTCACTGGAAGATGTGTCCAGACTGGTGAAGAAAGCAAGCTGTGCTTTCATGCTTGTTGGAACTCGTGTTTCAGTCTAGACTGCCCTCGCTGAGGCTGCTCTGTATGGTGTGCCCCATCACAGACCCGTTCTTCAACGCAGAGATGCCGATTTTATTTGGCTGTAGGTGATTTTTAGTCTCTTGTTGTGTGGGATTGTGTGATCCTAAGCAAGAACAGGGTTCATGAAGTGCCACAGAAAGATGCAAGTACTGTATATTTACTAAATCTCTTAAAGGGTAAGTAGGGCCCTTTGCCCAAACCTGGACCACTTAAAAAAAGTGAGCTGTGTGAGATTATTTTTACATGTTAAAACGTGTAAGGAGAAATGAAGAACCTACTTTTTACACCCTTTACTATCCAGAAACTGTAAATTTGGGTGGCTTTATTTCTTTATCCTGCCAGTGAATTTCCTAACCTGTTTCTGAGGTTTGTCAGTCAAGCAGCAGATAAGGGATGGAGAGCTTCGCGGAGCCTCCCAAGGAGCGCACACCGAGGAAGACGCAGACTGTGTGCGTAAGCCCACAGAGCTCTGGACAAGCCTTATCCAGAGCCGCTGCCAGGCTGAAGAGCACAGCCGCAGCAGGATGCACGCACGTGCTGTTCTTGAATTCAGGGCCTGCTTTCGAACATGTAACAACATTACCCTGAACTTTAAAGCAAAAAAAAAAAAGAACGTTAGCCACTCTTTGCATACAGTGGATATGCAAAGCAGGTACCACAGCTCAGTCTTGTATTGTGTGTGCTTTCAAGCTCTCTTGAGGAACATGGCTATGTTACCACGTCCTTCTGGACCTCAGACGTGGAAAGGAGTGGAAACTAGGTCAGAATATTCATGACAACCACAGAAGAGCAGTGTCCACGTGTACAGGAATACGAAAACGCCACGGTACAAACTGAGATGAAACCAGGGAGGGAAAAGGGCAGTATCAAGGAGTCACTTGCTGTAAGAGAAGACTGCAAGAAAAGAGCTGGTCTGCGGCTCAGCCCAGTGGGAAGGCTATCAACCACGACATCAGGAAAGCTGAAGAGCATAAAGCCTTCTTCGTCTTCGTCTCCACTGAACAGACCGGCCCCACAAGAGACCAGAGCAGCCCGTGTCAGCGGCGCGGTGGGGACAGCTGCCCAGGGAGGTTGTGGAGTCTCCTTCTCTGGAGATATTCAAGACCCGCCTGGACAAGGTCCTGTGCGGCCTACTGTAGGTGACCCTGCTTCTGCCGGGGGGTTGGACAAGTTGACCAGAGGTCCCTTGCAACCCCTGCCATGCTGGGATTCTGTGATTCTGTGACAGCTCATCCTCCAGCTGTGAAGGAACAGGCGGCAGAGTACTTACTTAAGGTGAATGTTGTCCCATCCGTGACCTGCTGCTTCGTACCTGGGTGGTTTTTGGAAGTGACTGAAGCATCCTCAGACCTGTCAGCTGCTATCTCTTGCAAATTTACCGCGAGGGGACAGACACGGTGCTTATCTTTGAGTAAAGGAGCAGCTGGGGAACTGCACGCCTGCCAGCGCCGTTTGCCCCAGATTTCCTGGGAATTGACCAAAGAACTGCTTGTAGGTGCTGATGGGAAGATAATGAGATGAGCAACAGTTGACATGGATTTGTCAAGAACAAATCACATCAAGACAACCCAATTTCCTTCTGTCTGAAGAAGGTCCTGCTTGAAGTCAGTGTCTCGATTCTTCTCCTTAGGAAGGCTTTTGGCACTGCTTTTCGGAACAGTCTCAAAACGAAGCACAAGCATTATGGTGTAGGTGAAAATATTGTGGGGTGGGTGAGTTTCTTCAGTGCTGGAAAGCTGTCTGTTTCTGAGCTTG